ATATATATATATATATGTTATAAAATATATATATATATATATATATATATATATATATATATATATATATCGAATTGAGATTTATCGAAAGTTATATTATATGGAAGAATGGTAATCAGATCATGTTTTAACATCATAGACACAAGCCTATGTAAATAATATTTACATTGGTCACGATAACACGCAAGCAAACCTATATTGACTTTCAACGAAAGAGTTCATTTTTTCCGCTTTCAGTCATCAGTACGCATCACTTGTAATATAAACTATTATTTAACACATATTTCTACATGTATTTAGTGTTCCTAACACGGTTATTTTTGGTTATTATCATATCCATTCCGCTCAAATATTAAATTAATGAAAACGTTATAAGAAAGAATGATGAGGAAGAGCAAAGTATAGACTTAATTACCTTGAGACATTGGTAAGTTTAAAATTCTTTTTTATTATTTTTGAAAATATACATCGACGAGTAATAATAATGGACGGATATTAATTACTTAGAATTATATTCGTGTTTAGTACATTAATTTAGTCAGAAGATTATGCAACGGCATTTTATATGTGTCTTTATTATAATATAAATGCGATTAAATAAATCTTCTTTATGCATATTTTTATACGGCAATGAAAATTTATGTTCGAAGACTCTTATTCTACAATTGTAAAAGTCGAAAAATTAAAAAAAATGCAAGAAGACATCCGTATGTTGATTGACATTCCCTAAAATTTTTGTAGAACATACATTCGGGTGTTGAAAAGAGAACGAAGATTAAGAATAAGAAGTTTGAACACAAAAAGATTCAAGATTTTACGTTGAAATGTTCTTTTGTCCACATAAACGTTTGTCGCGCAGCAAAAAAGTGATGTGATAGATAATAAGTTAAATTTACTTTTGTACGAATATAGATGAAGCGTATACGACTTCTTGAGAAATTTCCCTTTCTTGTATCTTCTATTAATTTTATAATAGCAGGAAAAGACAGTTTTTCTTTCTAAAACAGCACAAGATCGTGATAGTTGATTCAATATATTATTATGAAAAGTGTGTCATTCGGTCTGATCTTACAGACTTGATATAAAAAAAAACATGAGAAATATAACTTGAACAGAAACCGAACCATCATTGAAAAATCTCAAAAATATAAGAGAACTTAAAAAAATCTATGATCTTTATTTGCTAATTTTTTACATCCTTCCGTATGTTATAGCTATTGATCTTTTCAAATTTATATTAGCGCAATTTGTAACTTTTCAATTAAAGCAAAATTCTCACAATCATTACTTATTATTGTTCTTCTCACGAAACGAGATCCATTAATTACTTTCCTAATTAATCATTTATTTGTACTTATGATAATATATATTTTTAAAAAATTGTAATTATTTTTATCCAAGGCTTGCGCGTGCATCGATTATGAGAACCATGGTATTTGTCATATAGATAAAAAAACACTATCCGATAGAAATGGATATTATGTTCAAAAAAGCAATAAAGTTATTAATAGCTAATACTTCAAATAAGGTTATTTTGGTTACTGAAGACGGAGAGGTATATGACAACAATTTATATGTTATAATAAAAACTAACATTTCGTATTAAATTACTAAAATCATCGACAAGATATTATTAAAGACCGTCAACCTTGGGAAAACTTTTTCGGCGATATAAAAAGGCTCCAACGGAGATAATTGAATAACGCTGATTTTAATGATAATTAATATAAATTTGCAATTATTAACATAAAGATTTGGCTCATACATTATTAAATTCATGATTTTTTATTACATTAAATGTTTCATAATAAATATGCATAATAAATATGCATTGTAAAGCTATAATATCCTATTTATTGCAGAAAAATAATAATTTTTTTCTTGTACTTATCATCTCTGTTGATAATCAAATTTTGACGATAACACAGAAATCACAGTTTTAAAGAAAAATCGAGTATTATTGAGTTGTAAATGCATAAATATTAAATCAATAATAAATCATAAAATTAGTAAATCATAAGATTAGTATATTATCAGTTTTTAATTTTTAATTACTTCAATATTCACAAGAACGCAAATTCCCAGAATGTCGGTCTTTAGTATCTCGTCGGTGCTAGAATGAATCTTTACTTTGAAATTTTTTGACGTTTAGAAATTACATTATAGAGTAAAGTGTAATGTATTCAGAGTGTAAAAAGAGATTGTAATTTTTATCTTTTAACAATAAAATATATAGAAATGAAAAAAAAAGATTGTCTTATAAAGTAAATTTTGCATTTATAAAAGAATCTTTATTAGAAAAAATAGTAAAAATTATGACGTGTGTCACTAAGTGTGTATGTATGTGTGATTCTTTATAGAATCTAATAATCCCATAAAGGAAAAATGAGTATATTTAAATATTTACAATGTTAACACATATTATATATTTAACATATAACATATAACATATCATTAAATGTGTTAATTTATATACATTTAAATGCATATAATGTGTTAATTTTTTTATATATATATATATTTTCTGCACGTTATGTTTTTTTATTATTCTAGAAAAAAATGTTATATATACGGACATATTTTATATAATTATATAAAATTTTTTATAACTTTTTATAACTTTTTTATAACTTATAACTATAACTTATATGAAACATTTTTTCTCGTGATGTGCATGTAATAAGTGCATAATGTTTTATAATATAAAGTTATAAAAGATCAAAACTTTTTATGCTTAACTCTCTATTAATTTTTGAGTTACATGTATTTTACATTATTTTACTTTATAATAAAAATACAATGTAACTGAATCCACTGAATCTAACCAATAGAGCCCATAAAATAATGAAATTGAAAATTTTGAATATTTTAATTGTTTTAGATGAAACAAAAAGATATTTCAGATGAAAGTGAAATAATTTCGAGAAGAATGTACTTTTCGATCACGTTATTTTTTTTTTAAGTAGAAGTACTATGAAAATATGAAGAACTTTAATTTTTTTTTTATGAAATTTTTTAAATACAATATGATTTCCTAATTCTACGAATAAAAGTACTAAGACAGAGTACTATCAGATATTTTATATTCTATTCCAACACAAACGTGAAATATTAAATATCTTATAAATTATTAATTTTATAATAATCGTATTTAAATACTTTTATAAACAGAATAATAAAGTAGTGAATCAATTTATGTAATAATAAAGTAGTGAATCAATTTATGTAAAGAATCACATAATAATTGCTTAAAAAAAATATGAAAGTTAATTTTAGAAATAAGCAATTGTGTTTCTATTACATCAAATGATCCCACGCATTATATCTGTCCATATAAATTTCATACGTAGAATAATTAGAGGAATCATATTATGTAAAAAAGTCATATTATTTACAGAAGGAGGTAACCTTTTTTTAGCTAGAAAAAAAACGTGATCAAAATATGTTAAGCTCGAAATCCAATTTCACCTGAAAAATTTTTTCATATTATTAAAAAAAAGTGAAATATTCAAGGATTTCAATTTAAGAAGATAATATCCTGTAATTAATTAACTGAATAAATCGATTATCTTTTTAAAAGAAACATGTATGGCAAGATACGAGTGCAAAACCTACATTCAATTCTGAAATTGAATCTACAAATAAGGTTGAAAATGAAATTATGGCAAATCTTGAAAAGCTCTCACAATATGTATGTTACACTTCCTGTAAGATTGATTGGAGCAACACAAGAATTGTAAAAGCTGCAGCTAACACGATTAATTTTCTCGCTTTGACTGATGCCGATAAAGTAAAGTGTTACTACGATATTATCATGAATGAATTTTAATAATAATAATTATTAATTGTACAAACTTCACTTAGATATATTATATTTAATTTAGGTACATTACATAAACGTTTGGATTGATGGAAAAAATTGCAGTATATACCAAATAGATATCAAAGAGAAGATTACATGCATGAGTTGCGGAAATAATTTTTATGTGGTAGTTACCGATAATTACAAAACGTACAGTTGGGGTATAAATAAGTGTGGGGAATTAGGTTTGGGTAATCCCCAAATTTTAGGCAAATTGCCTTTCATAGTAGAGCCACGTGAAATAGTCGCATTTACAGGCAAAACAATTGGTAATTTTCTTTAAAATACATTCCTAAAAATGTAAAGATATATACATGAAGAATTTATAGCTGCAAGCATTGTAGAATAATTTATTTAATCTATTTAATCTTAATGTTTAGTCAAGGTAGCCTGTGGAATTGATCATACACTCGCTCTAACCGATAAAGGGAAAGTCTACGGCTGGGGTTCGAACACTTATAGACAATTGAATCTGAATAACAGAGTTGATCTAATTTTATCTCCTACCAAGGTGAATAATTTGCTTCTGTAATTGTATTGTGATAAATAGGAAACAGAAAAGCGTAACATAAATCAGAGAATTTTTTGATCAACAGCTAAACATAGATAATGTAAAAAAAGTATCGGACATTGCTGTCATTGATTACAAAAGCTTTGTCAAGTCTAGCGTGGGACATATCTACACATGGGGCTTTATTTTTAATGTACCAATTAAAAACCTTGTTGTCTGTGAATGTACGAACGCTTTTGATATATGTAACTCGATGATAGCTCATTCACCAATGTCCGTGGCCTGTGAATTCATAAATGAAGAATTTCACATATTAAATGATTTGGAAACTGCATTCAACGATCAGGTTAGACTTTATTCTGTGTATCTATTTGTTTCTCGAATTTAGTATTTCCAATGAAGTATCATAAGAATTACAATATGATTTATTTTTACAATTTAGTTTTTTAAATTTTTAAAAAATATCAAAAATTTTCAAACTCTTGCAACTAATAGTGTATTAAAAACCGCAAGCCAGTCATTAGTTGAAAATGTTTACAATCCGGAATGGATTATATTGACTGTTATAGTTCTATTTTGTCTATTTGGTAAAGTCTTAGCATATTTTTCAATAATATCTCTCGTTTCATGATTTGATATCTTAAATGTCTTTCTTTTTATTACACTATACATTTTTTTATTGCGTAACAAAAGGAAAGATTTGGTGATTACATAATACGCATGTTTATCTTTAATATTTAATTCGTATTTCCTGTATCTAAAGTCAACGAGTGATCTCACGATAGTAATCGAGAAACAAACAATTTATGTTCACAAGGCTATCTTGAAGATTCGTTCTATATATTTTGAAAATATGTTTCGAACTAATTGCATTGAAAGCAAACAAAGGTACATATTTATAAAAAAAGTGTATATTTTTTAAAGAATCTTTTTTTATTTGATTCATTTGTAATATTTCCATATATTTTTCAGCATCATCGAGATTCATTATTATAGATACGTTGTTTATAAAACATTTTTAGAATATTTGTATACCGGTAAAATCAATCTGTCATTTTTTGAAGACCTGCTAGGTGAGTTTGGGTTAAACGTGCCGCACATTACATTTGCAATTTGCGATTAAATATCTCGTCGTTGCAGATCTTTTGCAACTGGCAGATGAAGTCTGCCTGAAAAATCTCCAGATAAATTGTATAGAAACAATAAAAAAAACAATTACTGTATCAAACGTCATACACCTCTTTAATCTTGTCAATAAAATGGTGGAACATTACAGGAAGGTAACTAATAGAATTATTTTTTTTGTTTTCTATTGTGGATTTCTTTCTTTTCTGAGACAAAAGAATTTTTTATAATGGGATTTATGTATTAATCCAATTGGAATTTGTTTTTCATTCTTCTTTCTATCCTAGTAAAATAGTTTTTCCTTTAAAATTCCTATACGCGAATCTTTTATTTCACACGAATATCATCACTTTTTACGCAGAATTCATTAGTTCTAAAAATGTATTTGTATTAAATGTTTGTAATTCACTTATATGTGTAGTATCTATTTTTTAGGAATTGATAAAATATTGCTTCAACTTCTATTTTAAAAACATGACGAAAGTAATACGGACAGAAGGTTTTCAACAATTGGATGCCGCAACAAAGGCTATGTTTATAGATAAAGGGAGAAATTTCTTTTCATCAAGAATTAATAGATCTAGTTATTTAAAATAATATATTTCTTGCTTTAGAGAGGAGAAGCATAATGGATACTGTTCTGTGAAAACGATTTATTATTTTAGTCGAAACAATTATTGCATGTATTATTCGATTTATAAAAAATGATTAAATAATTCTAAATAAATAACAAATACAAAAGGAAAAAAATCAATTTAGGATTGTGATTAAATTATTTTAAATAAATTATATTTAAATATTGTTGAATGTTGACGTAAATGAAAAATAAATAAATAATAAATAATGATTATTGAAAACAGCAAAATATATAATTTATACGGATTTTAAGGATCAAGTAAAAATTTTGAATATTCCTTCACGTAAACTCTTAAGAAAATTTTCATCAAAGAACCACGTGAAGTACTCGAGCAATCCATCAAAATTATATACGTATACATTCGTCAACAAAATTATCGCATAGGTAAATTTATATCAAATTTCGCATAAATTCAATTAAGCGTGACTCCGTGAAAAATCTCATTGAAAAGTTTCCTTTTTCATTTTCAAAAGTAAAGTCTGTACTTTACGAAGTTTTCAATGGATTTTGAATCTATCTCCTAGGATTTTTTAAAAATAAGGATGTGTTTTTTTTTAAGAAATTTGCGCTTGTTGTACGCTACGGGGTGGAGTATATTTTTTTCGTAAATGTCATGATAACTATGGTAAAGTATGGACCTTTCTTTTATAAATTAAAAAAAAATTAAGTTTTGTACGATTTTTTTTTCGAAGAGATACAATGCATCAAACTTACTTATGCAATTTATTCAATTACTGCCAATATTAGCATATATTATCCTGGTACCACAGACAGGTTGCTGATCGGATTTTGTAAATGTGCGTGTGCGTGTTGTATATGTATGTGGGGGGAGAGAGGGGAGGAGGTGAAAATACGAGAGAGTACATATTTACTCATACATATTTATATTTAAAATATTCTTTATACTTCCTCCTCATATTCGGATGATCTCTTGTAAAACGTGCATGCATATTGAACTGAGGAATTTCCCATATTCGATGCTGCTTTTAGTGCATTGAATTTCTTCGTTGCCAGAATCGTACCATATTGAAAAGAATCTTCATTATAAATGTTATAATGGCGCCAAAAAATTATGAAAAAATTACTTAATTAATAAGAAAGAGAAAAGAGTGCAGTTTATAGTGTTGTAAAAAACTTAACTTTATAATTTCTGAATTATGAATTAAGTAAAAAGTGGTGCGATTTCGGCAACCTTACTCTACGTATACAGGGTGACCATCTAAAATATCTCGCTTATTTATGATGATATAAAAAAAAATGTTTCAAATGAAAGTAGAGCTGTAAAAATACCGTCAAATTCAATTTTACAATTACTTATAGTAAAATTGTGGTTAAATGATAATTTATTGTATAATAATTTATTATTATATAATTTTGGCTATATTTTTTGTCTTTATAGTTTTATGTATTATACAAATATAGGCTGTATAAAATAAAATAACGTTCTTCTAATAGAAATCGCTGATAGAATAACAGGGCTATTGACTAAATCTAAACATATTATTTAATCAGAACAAAACGTGTCTACATATGTGAACATATAGCAACTCCTTAAGTGTGTGGTTACTTGTCACGTTAGGGGTCTGTATTTTCAAACAAAATGAAAATTACAAAAGCGAGCAAATTTACTAGATATTGACCAATGAAATAATCAATATTTTAATAAATTCGCTCACTTTTATAATTTTTACCTTCAAGATACAGAATCGATCTCTAGGTCGTCGACTGATGGTGTTCGCGGGTATACATCAATCGTCCATATTATTAATTGATTAATTAAAAATAATATAATTTCATTGGTGAAGCAATGAGAAATTACTAGGCACGATGTGAATGGCGTGCAAGTGCTCCACTTTCGTCGTAAATCGTCCCTGGTTTGGCATCCCTGCCTTAAACGTTGTCGATTGTTTAACTATTATATCAATATATGAAAATTTAAGTTAAACAAAGCGTTTTTAACTTAATGACTAAATACTCTTAAATTATTATACTTTATTTTTCTATGTAATTTTTTAAAATTATTATTTTACCTAAAAAAATTATTAATTAATCAGCCTCAAAAAATTACCAAGTAATATAACATAATTTACCGGATAAGTTATTATCAAATTTGATCATTTTCATCTCTAAATGAAAGTGAAACTTGAAGGGCATTTTAGTCATGTCATTTTTTTCTAAGTGACGCCAAAAAGATGAAGATCTCCAATTTTTAAAATGAAATCGTATGACTTTTTACACAATTCCTTTAATTATAATTATAATTATTCCGCATATAAAAGTATTGAAGCAGTGATATAAAAAGAATTAGTAGTTTACGAGATATTTTACACTTTATTCTGGTACATATATTGACATAAAGTGTTAAATAATTCATAAACTATTAATTAACTAATAACTTTTTGATGATACCTTAATACCTTTTATGAACAGAATAATGAGATGAAAGTTGATGGAAAGAAATTTATTTAGCATTTTATGTCAATATGTGTCAGAATAAAATATAAAATATTGGTTTTTTGATTCACCTTAATACCTTTATATACAGAATAATTATTTACATACAGATAGAATAATTATTTATATACAGAATAATTAGGAAATCCTATTGTGTAAAAAAAATCACATATTGAAAAAGTGGAAGTGACTTTTATATCTTCTTAGCGCTTCCACCTAGAAAAAAGACAACATGATTAAAATATGTCTCCCTCGAAATAGTTCCATTCGAAATATTTTTTTATATCATCAAAAATAAATAAGATATTTCGATTTAAGTGGATCATCTTGTAAATAAATGCACAGCAATATGTTGAAGAATTTAACAACAAGAGCACATTCCGTGTGGAATAGTTTATTAATCTTAATCGGTAACAACGGTGATGTTCCATTTGATCACGTAGCGATTAGAATCACTCACAACTTATAGCACTGATTTAATATTTCAAGTTGGTATAGGTCATAAAAGCTAATTTCTAATATAAATAACTTAAATTATGTTCTAGCATCATGAACACAAACCCTAAATAGATAATATTTATATTGGTCTCTCAGGATAACGCGAGGGTAAATTTATATTTCAAGGAAGGAGTTCGTTTTCCTGATTTCAATCATCACTTGTGAAATAAGATATTGTTAAATAAGATATTTAATAAATATTTTTACAAATTGTATTTAGTGTAACGTATCGATCATTATCATGTCTATTTCACTCAAATTTCATGAAAACTTTATAAGAGAGAATAATGAGAAACAGCAAAATATAGATTTAATTACTTTCAAACGTTGGTAAGTTTAAAGTTTCTTTTGTTCTATTTTTTTAAATATACATCGACGAATAATTTTGAAATAATAATAGAAGGATATTAATAATCCAGAATTAGACTCATATTTTTAGTACGTTGATTTAGCCAAAATTATTCAGCGGCATATTACATTACTTTATAATATAAATGTGATTAAATTCTTGTTTGTACATATGCGACAATGAAAATTTATGTGTAAAGACTCTTAATCTGGATCTATAATCTAATAGATGTTTTAATAATTAAGCTGTAAGAAATTTCTCAATTGAAGGGAAATAATTGACTATGATTCGTCTATTTCTTATGGCTTAAGGCTTAAAAATCTATTATAGATTTATACGGACTTATTCTACGATTGCGAAAGTCAAAATTAAAAAAAATACAAGAAGACATTCGTTTGTATATTGATTAAGATTCCCAAAAATTTTTATATAATACTTAAAACAAAATGAACATACGCACATTTAAGCGTTGAAAAGAGAACGCGAAGATTGAGAATAAGAAACAATATGAAAAGATTTAAGATTTTACGTTGATTTGTTCCATTGTCCATGTAGGTAACTAGAACTGGATAACTTGCAGACGATAAAAGCAACGTAATAGCTTATTATTATTAAGTAAAAAAGTGATGTGAGAATTATCACATTTAAATTTAAATTTATTATACTTTTTACGTCTGTATGAGCATAGATAATGCGTATAAGATTTCTTAAGAAATCTTCCTTTCTTCTATTTTTTTAAATTTTATAAAAAATTTTTTAAATTTTAAAAAAAGCGGTTTTTTGTCTTTGTAAAACGGCACACAGGATCACGATCATCAATATTAATTACAAAATATCATTATACGATCAGATCTTATGGCCATACAAGAAAACATGATCAACAAAACTTGAGCAAAAACCAAATTACAGTTAAAAAATTTCAAAAGAGTACTTAAAAAATTTTAGATTTTTTTTGCTAATTTCTTGCAATTCTTACAATTCCTTCCATACGCAATATTGTTCTTTTCATATTTATTTTAGCTCAATCTGCAATCTTTCAAATAAATCGAAATTCCGACAACCATCACTTATTTTTCTTCACACAAAACGAGATACATTAATTTCCTAATTAATTATTTATTTGTATTTACGGCAATATATATATTTAATAACAATTGTAATTATTTTTATCCAAGGCTTGCACTGCAATCGTGCATCGATTATAAGAATGGTACTGGCCATATAGAAAAAAAACATCATCCGACAAAAGTGGATATTATGTTCAATAAAATAATAAAGTTGTTGATTGCCAATATTACAGATAAGGGCAATGCTTTTTTGATTACTCAAGACGTTGAGGTACATGAACAATTTATATATCGTAATAAAAATTGACATTTCATATTTTACTAGAATGAATCTTCGCTGAATTTTTTTGACATTTAAAAATTACATTATAGAGCAAAATATAATATAAAGTACACAAAGTGTAAAAGAAGATTATAATTTTTATCTCTTAATAAATAAAATACATGAAATGAAAAAATTATATATATGTAATTTTATAATTGTATATATGTATATATGTATATATGTATATATGTATATATGTATTTTGTATATATGTATTTTATAAGAATAATTTTGCCTTTATAAATGTCTTTAGAAAAAATAGTAAAACTTATGACATGTATCACTAACTATGTATTTTATAAAAGCAATAGTCCTATAAAGGAAAAGTGAGTATATTTAATATATTTAACGTTAACATATATGCCAAATACATTTGATGCGTTAATTTTTTATATGTTTGTTATATCATGTTGTTTTTTATCATGTGCATGTAATAAATGCATAATGTTTTACAATATAAAGTTATAAGAGATTAAAATTTATTTTTTACATATTTTTTACACCATAATGTATTGAACAAGCTCATAGTATGATTGACAACAATTTTATAAATTTACTAAATGTATGATCAACTCTCTATTAATTTTTGGATTACTTTTCTTTATAAAAATTTAATACTAGTACTGGTCGCAATTAATCATTTATTTTGAGTATTAAAAAATATTGTTAACAGCAACTTTTACTGAAAATAAGTGATTATTTTTTGGCCAGTTTTGGTATTAGATTTCTGTAAGGATTTAAATTACATTATTTTATTTTATGATATAAATACAATGTAACTAAATTCATTGAATCTAACCCATAAAGGGCGATATACTGAAATTGAAAATTTTGAATATCTCAATTGTTTTTTATGAAATAAAAAAACGTTTCGTATAAAATTGAAGTAGCAGTTTCCAGAAGAACGTATTTTTTGGTTATGTTAATTTTTTTTAGATGGAAGCACCATAAAGATTTAAAGAACTTTAGTTTTTTAAATGAAATTATGATTTTTTAAATATAATATGATTGCATAATTATTTTACATACAAATAAAAATATTAAGCAGATACATCAAAGCTAGATATTTTATACTTTATTCCACATATTAAGAGAATCCTAAGGTTTAGTCTTATGAAAGAATAAGAAGACATAACTAAAGTAAATGTCCCAATTAGTTACAATCGTGACTGTTTTTCTTAATGAATCAATTATATAGATCAATGTGTGTTGTTCATTCTCAAAAATGTGTTAGTATTCAAAATTGTATATGTCATCTATTATAACGAATTTTGAATAAAATTAAACGCTTTTGTAAACGCTAAAATATTATAATTGTAAGCATATTATCAATAACAAATTTAACAAATGCTCACTAAGGCACTCTTGTAAGGCACTCTTGTAAGGCAACAATTAATATCAACGATTTTTTCGTCAAATGATTCTAACTATTATTATTATTGAACTAAAAGTAAAGAAAAGTAAGCACTTAAATTAAATAGATATTAAAAACATTGTATGAATAATAACTGAAAATATCACAAAAATACATATTATGTTAATTAATGCATGTGTCATTAATCATTAATCATACTCAAATTTTGTTTGTCTTTATTATTGACATTTCAAATAAATATCATATAAAACAATAAAAACATTCCTACTAAATGAAATATATAATTTATAAATATTAATTATTATTAAATTAGGAAATAATATTAATATCGTAATTTATTTAATCTTGCAGAATTTAAAAACAAATTTCAGTCTCGATAGACTTAGGACGCTCGCACGGAATGCAAGAGATCCGGTTCGACTCCCAGCCAAGAGAATATTTTTCGCAATAAAAATTAATTATTTACAGATTTTAATATGTCATTCAACATTATTAAGAACATTTCGAAGATGCGAATAAGTAAAAATTTGTTTAATTAGTAGTCAATTTAACTCGTGATATTATTGTGATAGTTTAGTGGATTTAGCATTTCAACACCGAAAAATCATTTCGGCGCGTGTTTCTAAGAACTATATACGTAGTATATAAATTCACACAAGAATCATACAAACATTTAAAATCCAGTTAGACCGTGTAAGGCTTTGATTTCTATAGTTTGTGTTATCACATATACGGTCTTATAATATATTATATTGTCTAATATTTTAATCAAATTAACAACATATTGAGTACAAATAGTGGCAATCTATAGATACGATTAAAAATAATTCAAATTAAATTAAGATTATTTAACTGGATGTCAGTAATAAGGACGTTTCTTTATCTACATATCAATATTAGGGACGTATGTATTTTGTATCACCTATCAGTAGATTAATATGCGTCATAAATTGGGACAATTTCGAATACATGTCATTAAATGCTACAAAAACAACGTTTTTATAAATATGTAATAAATATGTAATAAATATGTAATAAATTAAGAATTTATTACATATTTATTACATATTTATTACATATCTAAGAAAATAAAAAAAAATTATGTTATCGTATTCTTAAATGTCCAAACTTTCTAAAAAAAATTAATTTCGTGTACTTATTGTGACATATATATCTACAATTTATTAATTCTCTTTTGTCACAAGTTACTTTGTCATTTTAATGATAATGGGACATTTAGATAGAGTAAGGAGAAAAATGTTAGTCACAGAAATTGTCCTCTATACTGTCAGAATCGCTGAGCGGAATAAATTGCAACATTTTGTTGTCATATTGAGCATTCATACAAAAAATATTCGCACAGAGAAAATATTTTTTAAAAAAACTTTATTTTTAAAAAGTAAATATTATCCAGGGAGAAATGACTCATCGAATTGATATCGAATCGATATAAATACGATGATTTCAATTTGATGTCGATTTGACATTTAATTGACGATCATTTCTTGTTGGATAATTAATAATTTATTCATAAAGAATAAAATGGACTGCATGTTTCTTAAAAATTATATATATCAAAAAAATGTGTAATTATATAAAATATATCATCCGAAAAATAAATAAAAATTAAAAATTGTATTGTTTAAATATTCAAAAAGTATTCGTACAGATAAGAAATTTAGCTTCTAAAATCAGAAATACATAAAATCGAGAAGCTCGTTTATTTATGTTAGAATAGAATATAGATTAGAATAGAATATATATATTGCTAATTAATTTATTTTTTATAAAGATTTTTTTTTTATAAAAAAACAAATTTCCTTGTATGAATACTTTTTACTCTCACTTGCGTCTGAATACTTTTACAAACAGAATAAAAAAAATCAATTTGTGTAAAGAAATAATTGTTTAAAAAAATATGAAGTTAAACGATTAATTTTAGAAATAAGCAATTGCGTTTTCATTACCAAATGATCCCACATATTATATTCTGTTTATATAAGTTTTATACGTAGAATAATTAGAAGAATCATATTATATAAAAAAATCATGTTATTTTATTTAGAATAGTGGAAATGACCTTTGTATTTTTTTAGCGCTCCCACCTAGAAAAAAGTATGATCAAAATATGTACTTCTCGAAACAGTTTCAATTTTATTTGAAAAATTTCTTCGTATTATTAAGGAAAAGTGAAATATTCGAGGATTTCAATTTAAAAAAATAACATCTTGTATAATTAATTTAATTAAATAAATCAATGATTACGTTATCTTTTTAAAAGAAATATGCATGGGAAGATACGAGTGCAAAAATTACATTCAATTCTGAAATTCAATCTACAGACAATGAGGTTGAAAATGAAATTATGTTAAATCTTGTGAAGCTCTCACAATATATATGTTATACTTCCCATAAGATTGATTGGAGCAACACAAGAATTATAAAAGCTGCAACTAACTCGTTTAATTTTCTCGCTTTGACTGATGATGGCAAAGTAAAGTATTACGACGATATCATCATGAATACATTAGTAATAATAATTATTAACTTTACAAACTTCACTTAGGTATATTACATTTATTTAATTTAGGTATATTATACAAAAGTTTGGAGCGAAGGAAAAAAATGCAGTATATGTCAAATAAAAGTCAAAGAGAAGATTACATGCATGAGTTGCGGAACTAATTTTTATGTGGTAGTTACGAATAATTGCAAAACGTTCATTTGGGGTGTAATTTTGTATGAGGAATTGAATACTTCTACCAGTTCTATTCAAACCTCAGATATATTTTTCATAGAAGAGCCACGTAAAATAGCTGAATTTACAGGCAAAACAATTGGTAATTTTTTTTAAAACACATTCCTAAAAATGTAAAGATGTACGTGAAGAATTTATGGCTGCAAGAAGAATATAGAATAACCTAATCTATCTCAATTTAGTCAAGGTAGCTTGTGGGAAAGATTATACACTTGCTCTAAGTGATAAAGGGAAAATCTATGGCTGGGGTTCAAACGCTAATGGACGATTGAATCTGTATTACAATGATGACGTTTTGTCTCCTATCATGGTAAATGATTTCTGAAATTGTATTATGACAAACCGGAAAAGAATAGGAAAGCATAAACCAGAGAATTTTTTGGTCGGTAGATAAATATAGCTAATGTAAAAAAAGTATCGGACATCGCTGTCATTGATTACAATAATTTTGTCAAGTCTAGCAAGGATGGACTTATGTACGCGTGGGGTTTTATTTTTGACATATCATTTAAAAAACCTGCTATTTGTGAATATACGAACGTGTTTGACATATCCAACTCGATGATAGCTCATTCACCAATGTCCGTGCCCTGTGAATTCACAAATGAAGAATTTCACATATTAAATGATTTGGAAACTGCATTTAACGATCAGGTTAGACTTTATTCTGTGTGTTTATTTGCTTCTCGAATTCAATATTTTTAATGAAGTATCATAAGAATTGCAGTACGATTTATTTTTACAATTTAGTTTTGAATCTTTAAAAGATGTCAAAAATTTTCAACTCTTGCAATTGATGGCATGTTAAAAACCGCAAGCAAGCTATTAATTGAAAATGCTTACAATTCGAAATTGATTATACTGATTATCACAGTTTTATTTTAACTCCTTGATAAAGTCATATTTTTCAATAATATCTCTCGGTTTGTAATTTGATATCTTAACCCTCAGTATCCACATTTCAAAAAAGTTCCTATCTACCACCAGATATTTATAACCTAGCATTTTCTTTTGCTTGTATCTCAAATTGTAATGTATCGATTTTAATTTTTTTTACTTATTGTTTGAAGATTAAGAAAAAGAATTTTTGAGTTAGAAAGTCTAAAATGTCAGCGCAAAAGATATTTTATAATAAAATAAAAAAATTTTATAGTAAAAAGAGATCGGAAAAAACGTCTGACTTATCGAGAGGGTTCCACTAATCCTTTATAAGTACTGAGGGTTAAATGACTTTCTTTTTATTACATTTTTTTATTGCGTAATAAAAGGAAAGATTTGATTACATAATACACATGTGCAACTTTAATAATTAATTCGTGTTTCTGTTTTTAAAGTCAACAAGTGATCTGACGATAATAGTCGAGAAACAATCAATTTATGTTCACAAAGCTATCCTAAAGATTCGTTCTACATATTTTAGAAGTATGCTCCAAACTAATTATGTTGAAAATAGACAAAGGTACATTTTTACAAAAAAAAATATATTTAAGAAAAAACTTTTTGTTTGATTTCTTTATAATATTTCAATATATTTTTCTTGACAGAGTCATCATGAATAATTATTATAGATATGTCGTTTATAAAAAATTTTTAGAATATTTATATACCGGTAGGATCAACCTATCATCTTTTGAAAACCTATTGGGTGAGTTTGAATTAAATGTGCCGAATATTACATATGTAATTCGCGATTAAAATATCTCTTTGTTGCAGATCTTTTGCGATTGGCAGATACATTATGCGAGAAAAATCTCCAGATGGATTGTATACGAAAAGTAAAGAAAATAATTAATATATCGAACGTCATGTACCTTTTTAATCTTATCAACGGTATGAACGAAGGACATCACAAGGAGGTAACTGATAGTATTATTTTTTTGTTTTTATTACGGATTTTTCTTTCTATTGTATGATAAAAATATTGCAGAATTTATAATGGGATTAACATATTAATTTCAACTGGGATGTTTTCCATTTTTTCTTTCTACTCTAGTAAAACATCCTTCCCTTTAAAATTCCTAGACGCGAATCTTTTACTTTATAAACAAATGTATATTCCATTCTGAAGCTCAAAACCGAGACTAGGCATTTCGGTATCTGAAGAAGAATAAAAAAATGCGCTCCTTAGTAAAAAATATTTCTTTATGACATGTAAAATATAATAGTACTACAAACATTTCCTTCTGTGAAAAAATCAAAGAGATTCTGAAAGTAGATGTAAAAAAAAAATACCCGTGTCTCAGCGTTTTACCAGATCAAGTCATTAACATTTTTTATGCAGTCATTTATCGTATTTGCTTCATATTGGCTTTTTCCAATTGTTAAATTATATGATAAGTTTTTAAAATAAATAATTAATGTTTTTGCATGCAAAATTATGCGATAAGTCCGAATACAAAAAAAAATAACAGAATTTTTTTTTCATATATTTTCAAATTTTTGTATAATAATAATAATACAATTATAATTATAATTATTATAAGAATCTTTGTCGTTTGAATTGACATTTATATGATTCCGGTTTTGTATCATGAATAATAGACCAACAACATTTACCAAGCATGTGTCTGATGTCTTTTCTTTTGAAATGTTTTCTCAATGTCTTGAAAATGTTCACTATGTTCACTGAATTCACCCAAATTTGGTGGAAAAAAATCCAAATGATTGTGAAAAAAGTGTATTTTGAGCGACATAACTTTCATTGCATGAAAAGCCGAAATCATTTCAGCAATAATTTGTTTGTAATTGTCGGCTTTTTTATTGCCCAGAAAATTTTTCAGTCAGTATCGACACACACAGGTATGCTTTCCTAACATCTACTTCAGAATCTCTTTGAATTTTTCATGAGAGGAAAAAGAATCGATTTTTGTCGCACTGTGCAATAAGAAATATTAATTAATAGTAATTAATAATGTATATATATTA